GGCCTATCAGCCCAACTGGGTTTTGGAATGAGACAGAGTTGGACAACTAGTCCAGCTGCTGAATGTGCTAGGTTCAAGGTTTTGGTCTTCGGTAGACATCAGCATCTTCTGTGAAGCTTATTAGATGTGCAAGTGACTTGACCCCACCTCAGACTTTCTGTGTCAGAATTTCCAGGGTTTTCCAAGCTCCTGGCAGGTATATGTGAAGATGTTTTTAGTGCAGTTTTAATCTAAGTTATTTAGGAAATGCAGACCTTGGAGAGTATGTGTGGCTGGACTGTGGCTGTATGGTGGTAACAGAATGAGTTGCTGGGATACCCAGGGGACCATGGTAGCAAACTGAAGAATGCCTGCTACGTGCCAGGCATGATGGATCCCATGTTATAGAAACCAGCTTTGAAAGAGAGATCAGGAATCAACAAATCTGTTTTTTTTTTTTTTTTTTTTTTACTTTCAGAAAACACTTTCGAAGGTCATTTTGGATTTTAATCCTCAGGTGTATTAGTTTCCTAGGGCTGTGTAACAAATGACCGCAAACCTGGGGGCTTACAGCAGGAGAAACTTATTCTCTCATGGTCGTGGAGGCCAGAATTCTGAAATGAAGCTGTCAGCACGACCATGCTTCCTCCAAAGGCTTAAGGACGGAATCCTTCCTGGTCTGTTTCAGTTTCTGGCAGCTCCAGGCAGGCATTCCTTGGCGGGTGGTGTGTCACTCCCATCTTGGCCTTGATCTACATGGCTTTCTTCTCTACTCCATATCTCTTTTCTGTTTGCCTCTAAAAGCACACATATCGTTGGATTGAGGGCCCACTGGACCTCCAGGATGACCTCATCTTGAGATTCTTAACTACATGTGCAAAGATCCTTTTCCCAAATGGGGTAAGGTTCACAGGTTCTGAGGATTAGGACATGCACATGTCTTCTTGGGGGCCACCACTGAACCCCCTACACCAGGGAAAGAGGCTTTACAATCTTTTCTTCCACTATTATTCTTTTCACACAATGGTTAAGAAGAACACTTCTTTTTGAGCAATCCTATAGTCTTATCTTCAGAATCTATGAGGATTTTTTTTTTTAAGATTTTTTTTTAGTTATTTGACAGACAGAGATCACAGGTAGGCAGAAAGGCAGGCAGAGAGCGAGAAAGGGAAACAGGCTCCCCGCTGAGCAGAGAGCCCAATGCAGCGCTAGATCCCAGGACCTCGGGATCACGACCTGAGCCGAAGGCAGAGGCTTTAACCCACTGAGCCACCCAGGTGCCCCATGAGGATTTTTTTATACATCATTCATATAAGATATATCATCTCCATTTCATTTATTAGCTCTAATAACTGGCATTGACCAGGAGATTCATTTAACATTGATAAGTTTTAGTAGAAACAATAAAATAATTATTGGCTATAATTTAAAAATTATAATTTTAAAAAGAACTTTAATTCTTTGAAACTTAAAACTTCTTTGATTATCATTGGTCATTCTATTCTCTGGTACGCATGTGAACAAACTTGTTACTCTTCACCTTGATCACACTCCCTAAAAAGCAACATGATCATAAATTACATGCCTTCATTTTTGACCATCTGACCTTGTAATGATATAATCAGGGTAAGTACTTCCTGGAAAACCCAGGTATTTTAAAGTGAAAGATCAACTCCAGGAAATCCATGGTTTCAGACAATAAATATTAAGCCACTTTGCCAAAATCCATTAAAATATAGTGTTTTAGGTCTAGATGGCATTTTTTCAAGTGACAGGATTCTGGCTATTTATCTGAAAATAGAGATTTCAATAGCTCTGGGTACTTGGTACCTGAATCCAGTATGTGTTTCCTGTTGGGACAGCTTAGTACCTTTGGGTTTGATAATAGGGACAAATTTAAGATTATGAAATAATACTGGATTTCTTAGCTTCGTTGATTTGGAGCGTAAGTTTGAAATCACTGTTTTATTTTCTCAGCTCATGGTATCTTAATGCCATGGCCTTTTCTCTGTATTTGCAGCCAAATGTCCCTCAGGCAGGCCTTCAGCCGTAAGTGCTTGTGTAAGAGTATGTGTTCCCTCCTAAAGCCTCAGGTGTCTCTCATGGAAACCTCAGGTGTTGGCTGCTGTGGAAGTGACCCACTCCTGTCTTTCACAGGCTTAGGGTTCCAGCTGGAGCTTTTATTTGTCTTAGTGAGACAGTGAGAGCCTGCCCATGGAGAGTCTTTCTGAAATGGCTCCTAATGCTTTTTTTCTTTTTACCTAGGATATTACTTTCATGCATTTTTAAAAAGCCTTTCTCTTTTTGCCCCAAGACATATTCCTTCAAAAATTACATTAAGAATTTCAAGAAATTCTCCTTTTCAGGCTCCTGCAGATACAGAAATAAGAATTGTCCATCTTCAGGATAGCAATTTTGCAGAAAACTAAAAATAAATCCCTTGGGAAAAGAAGAAAGCATTTGAGTGTTTTAGGTGCTTGTACCCAGAAGATTCCCAGATAATTTTTTAAAAAGATAAAATTCTGGACTCCACTTGTGTAAAACTTTAAAAATATACTACAGTGCCATGTCTAAAAGAAAAGTAAATAAATGAGAAGCTTCTAGGGACTTACAAAATTATTTTTTTATAGACCAATAAAAGCTATATATTAATACACAGCTTTTCCCAAATGAACCATCTGTCCAGTTTTCTCATGTGATGCAGTAGACAGAGATAAAGTTTATGGGCAGAAATTTAACTTACACAGGTTATTAATTTCTATATGTATCCGGATCATACAGACTAATGAGGAGCAAACTTCTTTGAAAGTTCAGGTTGATAGTTTTCTTTTTAAGACATTTTATTTCCAAGGCTATATAAATGAGTCAGTTTTATTTCTTCTCTCAGCTGAAGTTGTTTTATCAAGTCTGTTATCAAAACAAACTTTTTGTTGAATTAATCTTTTCTTTCTATTTTCCCTGCCACCACATAAGTCTAGGTTTTTATGACTTATTCCTTGATTACCACAATAGGCTTTAAAAAAACCATTTTATTATGGAAACATTCAAACATGCGGAATTAGGCAGAAAAGTATATTGAACACCTGTGTACCTATCAGGAAGCTTCATCAGTTATAATCACTTTATTATTTTTGTTTCTTTCCCCTTATTTTTCTCTTGAAGATGTAAAAGCCTACCCCACTCGTTGTGGAATATCAGTATGTATTTCTAAAAGATAAGCAGTTTGTGTCCCCCATAGCTTTCTAGTTATTCTTTCTCTAATCTTATTTTTCTCACCAATCCAACAATTTCTAACTATTTGGCATACTCAAAGGCTCAGTATTGCTTACTGAATCAAATACAAATTCTTGTCCTGATATACAAAGCCATCTTTTCAGTTTTGCCCATCTGTCTGATCATCCATTATTCCCAAACAGGCTGTCAGGTGGGTCTCCTCACTCTGCCAAAGCCCTGTTTATTCCTGTCTCTGGTCATGCTCTTGTTTACCCAAATTCTCAGCATCCTAGAAAGCTCTGTTTGGGTGCCTCCTCTATAAAGCTTTTCCCTCATAATGACTTCTTTCTGCCCTGAACACTTGGGTTTTTTTTTTTTTTAAAGATTTTATTTATTTATTTGAGAGTGAGAGAGAGAATGACAGAGAGGAGAGAGCCAGAGAGAGCACGAACATGAGAAGGGGGAGGGACAGAGGGAGAAGGAGACTCCCTGCCCAGCATGGAGCCTGATGTGGGACTTGATTCCAGGACTCCAGGGTCATGACCTGAGCTGAAGGCAGTTGCTTAACCAACTGAGCCACCCAGGTGCCCTAAAAACTTGGTTTTAAACACAGTTCCTTTAACTTTAATTTTTTTTTTTTAATGGTATCCCAGTCTTAACTACTGAAATCTGGGAAGTAGCCTCTGAATCACTGACTAGCAGCATTTGTTTTTAAAGACTTTAAAATGTTTGGGTGAATGGTAACTCTAGGGATACAAAGAAGGTCAGTGGTGCTGGAAAAAGTCTAGCGTCACTATGGTAGGCATAATTCTAAGATGGCTTCATGGTGCCTGCCCCTGGTGTTATTCCTGTGATTACATTATATTACATGACAAAAGTTATTTTCTGGATGTGATTAAGGTTACTAATCAGTTGACCTTAAGATAGGGAGACTATCCAGGTGCAGCTGATCTAATCTCATGAGCCCTTTAAAGAAGAGAGTTTTCTGTGACTGGTCATAGAAGGGAAGTTAGAGAGATTTGAAGCCTGAGAAGGATTACCTCTACAATTACTGGCTTTGAAGAGGAAGCAGGGGGGCCGTGAGCCGAGGAATGCAGGCAGTTTCCAGATAGCCAGAAAGAAAATAGGATCTCAGTCCTACCTGCCCAAGGAACTGAATCCTGCCAATAGGCTAAATAAGCTTGGAAGTAAATTCTTGTCCAGAATCTTCAGATAAGAGTCCTGCTCAGCTGACTCCTGGAGTTTGGCGTTGGGATGCTCCATGCGGGAGATTATCACCAATACCACTCAGCTTTCTGATCTGCCAAACCGTGAGATAATAAATGGATAGTGTTTTAAGCTGCTAAGTTTGTGGTAATTTGCTATTTAGCCATAGAAAACAATACAATAAATAACACAGGCTTTGAGCTTGTAGTAAGTTTTAAGCATATTCTGCTATTCTTCTCCATGCCCCCAGTTTTATTGAGATATAATTGACATAGAGCACTGTATGTAAATTTAAGTTACCCTGCATAATGACTCGACATGTATGCATTGTGAAATGGTTGCCACAAGAAGTTTAGTTAACATCCATCACCTCATATAGTTAAAAAAAGTTTGTGTTTTTCCTCATGATGAGAATTCTTAGTATCTGCTCTCTGAGTAACTTTCAGATACACCAGACAGCAATGTTAACTATAGTCACCATGTATAATGCATTCCCAGGACTTATCTTATAAGTACATGTTTGTACCTTTTGACCACCTTCACCCAATTTCCCCACCTCCCACTCTCTTCCTCTGGTAACCACAAGAGTATTCTCTTTTCCTATGAATTTTTTGTTTGTTTGTTTGTTTTGAGAATGCTTGTGTCATCCTTGTGCAGGGGTCATGCTAATGTTCTCTGTTTCATTGTACTGCTGAAGTGAGCATCCTGCTACCTTATTAGGGCTCCAAATCAGGGCACCTAGGTGGTTCAGTCAGTTTGGTGTCTGCCTTTGGCTCAGGTCAGGATCCTGGGGTCCTGGGATCAAGCCCATGTTAAGGTCCCTGCTTGGCGGGGTGTCTGCTTCTACTTCTCCCTCTGCCTCTCCCTGCTGGCTTGGACTCTCTCTCTCTCTCTCTCGCTCACTCACTCTTAAATAAATAAAATCTTTTTTTTTTTAAGATTTTATTTACTTATTTGACAGAGAGAGATCACAAGTAGGCAGAGAGGCAGGTGGAGAAAGAGGGAAGCAGGCTCCCCCCTGAGCAGAGAGCCCAATGCTGGGCTCGATCCCAAGCCGCTGGGATCATGACCTGAGCTGAAGGCAGAGGCTTAACCCACTGAGCCACCCAAGTGCTCCACCCCTCCTTTTTCTGTAAAGCTCCACATCGGGAAGGGAGGTTTTCCAGTAGCTGGAAGCACTCATCTTAGCATGTAAGATCATTGCACAGACTAACAGTGCCCTTAGTTTACAATGCTTTGCTTTTGTCCATCAATTTCTGACTACAGATAGGAAAATTTCAAAGAGAGAAAGCTCTAGCTTTCCTATTGCTTGTGTTTTCAAAAAAGTCTTTAAGAGGGTCCTTGAGCAAGGGAAGGTAATGAGGGCATCTTATCAGACCAGCTTTAGCACTGGATCATTATGCAGTCAGACTAACCATTACCTCTGGTATGAGACCTGGGCAGATCTTGAAGAGAATGTACCCTAAATCTCTGCAGCCAGCCAAGATTTCAGATCGTAGAATTTGCTGAAAAGGTAAGGGGTGCCTCAGTCAGTTAAGCGACTGCCTTTGCATCGTGTCATGATCCGAGGGTCCTCGGATGGAACCCCACATCAGCCTCCCTGATCAGTGGGGAGCCTGCTTCTCCTTCTCCCTCTCCCTCTGCCTTCTTGTGCTCTCTCGCTCTCTCTCTGTCAAATAAGTAAATAAAATGTTTAAAAAGAATAAATGCAGACACTTCAGGAACTGGTCAACAAATCGTTAATGAGGCTACCTAGGAATGTGAGAAATGAAGTTACAATTTCTTCTGAAGCTCAGAATCAGAGAGGATGGGCAGGGCTGGGTTAATGTGCAGCTATTTCTCCAGCCATGCATGTAGAACACACACAAATGGTTAGATATTTATTTGGGGTGCCTGGGCATGATTCATAAAGAACTTGTTCCTTATAAAATTTACTGCTGAATGACTCATTGTAGGATGATGATGAAGATAAGGCTTCTAATTTAAAGAGTTAGGCAACCATCCTTTTAAAAATGGACTCTGTGAGGTATAGTTTACATACCATAACTGTATACTTTTTAAGTGTATAGTTCCTAAGTGCATACACCCATATAACCACCACCACAGTCAAGATACAGCATGTTTTCATCAACCAGACGGTTCCCTTGTACACACCCCGTTGCTGTCAATCCCTCTCTCCACTCACTGCTCCAGGCAACCATTGATCTGATTTCTATCACTATAAACTTGTTTTGTCTCTCCAGCACATCATAGAAAAGGAACCACGCAGAATGTAGTCTTTTGCATTTAGCTTCTTTTGGCCAGCTTGATGTGAGAACCATGAGATTCGTCTACATAGTTGCATTTACTAGTAGTTATATTTTTATTGCTGGGTAGTATTTTATTGTGTTAATAGCACAATTTGTTAGCCACTCACCTACTGGTGGACATTTGGGTTGTTCCAGTTTTTGACTATTATGAATAAAGTTGCTATGAATAGTCTTAGTGTGGACATATGGTTTTGTTTCATTTTGGTAAATGGAGTAGGAGTAGCTGAGTCCAGATGATAAGTGTATGTTTAACTTTAAAATAAACTGTCAAACTGTTTTCCAAAGTGGTTGTACCATTTTTTCACTTTCACTGGCAATGTGGAGGAGACCCAACTACTGTCTATCTTCCCCAATACTTGATATTGTCAGTTTTTTAAAGAGTTAACGTTTTTTCTTTTTTAAAGACTTACTTATTTGAGAGGAGAGAGACAGAAAGAAAGGGAGAGAATCTCAAGCAGACTCCCTGCTGAGCATGGGGCCTGAAATTGAGGTACAAATAGGTTAAATAATTTTATTGGTTTGTCCTATCTGCTAAAGGGTAGATACAGAAAGTATATAGAAAGTCCTTATCAATTTCCATTATAAAAATATACACAGCATAAAGGGTCTTAGAGAGAAACCCAAAATTTATTAATGTGTACATGAGGAGGGGAGTTTGTGAGGACATTTGTGAGCACGTGTTAGTATGCAAGAGTGTGCATGGTCTGTGAGAACTCATACCTCAGGGTCTTCCCAAATGTGGTGTTCTCCCTTGACCACTCCTCTTCGCTTTTAGTCAACCTAACTTATCCTTAGGGTTTAGCTTTTTGTGGGGGGTAGAGGAACAGAGGGCGAGAGAGAATCTTTTTTTTTTTTTTTTAAATATAGGGTCTTTTAAAAAATGATCTTATTTATATATTTTGAGAGAGAGAGAGCGAGAGAGCGAGGGAGAGCGTGACTGTGCAGGGGGAGGGGCAGAGGCAGAGACAGACAATTGTAAGCAGACTCCACACTGTGGGTGGAACCCAATGCAGGGATCCATCTCATGACCCTGAGATCATGATCTGGACTGAAATCAAGTGGGCCCTCCACTGACTGAGCCACCCAGGTGCCCCAGGGTTTAGCTTTAATGCCACTGCTTCAGGGAAGCTTATTGCATGCTTTCATATTATGTTGCTCTTTATTTTTTTCTATCACAATTGTAACCGAATTTACAAATATTTACTTAATGAATATCTTTCCCACTGTACTGCAGGCTCCATGGAGCCCATTTTTCACCATGTATCCAACATATAACAGTTTCTGGCATAGGGTATGTGCTATTTGTTGAATATGTGTATTTGTTGAATGAGTAAATGAATGAATGAATGAATATGCAAGACTAAGTAGGTTTCCTTTCTCAGATTGCTATTCTGAGAAATTCATTCTTTTTGGTGTGTGGGTCTATGAGTTTTTACAAAAGCCAAAAGGTAACCCACAATAGTCAAGATATAGAACAGTTTTGTCTGTTCCCTGTGCCCCTAACCCCTTGTAATCAAATTTTAAGCTCCACTTTGACCTCTGGCAATTACTGAGAAATGCTTATTTCACATAATCCTGGGCTCTTCTTTTCCTTCATGCCTTGTGTGTATTTCAGCTGTAGCTGAAATATCAGTAGCACTCATATATTTTATCAGAGAAATGAAATTAATTTAGACTTGTCTCACATGGAATTTATGCTCTGCATGGAATCATTTCAGTAAATAACTTGACTACTTTTAAGAATAAAAAGAGAGACACTAGGTCAACTGGGTTTTTGCCCATAGCCTATTTTTTTTTTTTTAATTCTCATAGTAATTCTTAACATCTGCACACACCTCTGTTTTACTACCCCTGGTTTAATTCAGCCTTCATGATCTTGTCTAGATCATTGCATTGTCCTCCACACCAATTATGAGCCTCTGATACCTCTTTGATTATACTTCATCTCTACATTTCACCCAGGGTGAATTTACCATGACTGTAAGATTTAAAGCTCTTCAGTGGGACCTTCTGGAGCTTCAGGACCCAGGCATGCTATTCAGAGCTCTTTACAAGGCTCCTCTTACTTCTTCAGGGTCATCCCTAGGTTTTTTTCCTTGAACCCTGTGATATTCCAGATGTCCCAAATTATTTGACATTTTATAAATATGCCATACATTTTGTTTTTATAAAAGTTTTTGTTCATGCTGCCCTGAGAGACTTTCTTTACCTTATCTGTTCAGTGAACACCTATGAACTACTGAAGACTATACAGGCTATCTCTTGCCTTCCCAAAGACCATTTGACTATTCCCTCTTTTGTCCCCGTCATTGCCTGTCCACCCACCTGCCTAACACCCCTAGTTCCTTATTGCACACCTTTGTGCACATATTTGTTTCCACTTACTAGAAGCACAGCTCTTTGAGGTCAAGCCTGTTTCTTATTCATCTTTGAATCCTTCATGCCTAGCACAGTGCCTGCCATATAGTAAGTGCTCAATAAACATTTGCTGAATGCATCAGTAAAAATGGTTTTTACTATATTATTACCTGAGCACTTTAATAATGTATACAAACCTGGTTTACATTTATCTTTTTTTTTGATGTTTTGGAAAATTTTATCAACTACTCTCCTTTTCATGAGAAGCTGATGATCCTATTTTGGGTAGTCACTTGAAGTTCTCACTAACCTTTCATCAGTCACTATTCATCTATATCTATGTGACCTGGTCAGTTGGCATTAGTTCAATTGGGCTTACCCAGGGTTGTCTGCTTGCGTATAGAAACTTGACTTGCAACTGTGGAAGTAAAAAAGGGAAAAACAGGGGATGTCGAAAGTGAACATGAATTTCCCATTAGTGGCTAACTCACTTTGAACTTCCTCTCCACTGAGGCTCAGAGTAAAGTCAAAGCTATCATTATGTGCTCAGGTTTGGACTAGTTACGGGTCACGCTGTTAGTCAGCTATTTATCAGTTGTGTCCAATGTCCTATTAACTTTACGGTCTTTCACCCCAGGGATCTAAGTCCTAAGGTGTTTGGGTCCAATGTATTTGCCATTAAAGTGGAGATAGAGTCCTTCTTTGTGAAAATGAAGACATTAAATCCTCTAAAAATATTCTGTCCAACCCATCACATCACTTCACTGTAAAAAAAACCAAAATGTAGGATGGAATTTTTATTAATAAAGCAATCTTATTTATGATCAGTCAGCTCTTTGTCAGGACTGAGGGAAGGTAGGAGAAGGAGAAAATACTTTATGTCTTCATCTCCTTATGACCAGGATTAGGGTCCAGTTGGAAATCTGCCTTCTCCCAGTTGAATGCCTGCAAGTATGACCTTGAGCTCTCTGGAAAGGAAACTGTTATTTCTTAGGACAGTTATATATTTTAGGAAGGATCTAAGTTATAAAGAACTTTTCATATT